CACGACCCAAACCCGCCCCTATAGGTTCAGCATCGTAACCGGCTAGTAATCCTTGGATTACCAAAGGCCTCTTAACAGAATAACGTATAATTAGGGGCTGCCGAAGCAATTATACAAAATATACGTAGTCCATTGAGCTGTGAAGACATACATCAGACAGATAGACAGATAATTTTAAACTTTTATAAACTTAAGAGTGACGTCAAAAGATATCGTATTTACATATCACTCCTTGAACATATTATCAGAAAACTTGCCCAAAACTTAACAAAATAAACGAAGTCTAGTACAATTACAAAAACAACCACTAAACTTGGCTTCATCCGGAACCTCCTCGGAAGACACAAAGGTTGGTTGACAAAAACTAAAACATAGGCTGTCAACTCTGGGCCTGGTCACGTGCCTGCTCACCTACATACATAATATAAATAGTAAGTTGGAGCCCAGTGAATAATAACAGAGTAAAGAGGTTTAATGAAGGTTGTTCATAACAGTTACAGAAAACATAATTCAATGGTTGTCAGAAATGAATTTGTAATCATGTTCAGAAATCATAGTTCATAACAGATACAGAATCAGAATCATATTCATAATAAGAATTTGCGGTTAATCATACATGGTACATTCATTAGCACTAGCAGAAACAGTTGACCCATAAAAGGACGGCCATAAAGGCATACAGTTGACTCACGTGTACAGAGACGGTATAGTTGGCTCATGAGACATACAGTTGGCCCATAAAATGGGACGTATATATAAGGATCCATAACAGTTGGCTCATGAGACGTGCAGTTGACCCATAAATGGGACGTAACAGAACAGATAACGGATGTCATTCGAAGCTAAGAATGCCACGAATACATTTCATAAACATTGGACAACCATTTAGTCTTACAGAAAATATTATTTCAGAAAACAGATCATCTTATATCATTCAGAAAATACTTATAAATTGAACATAGCTTTACAAAGTTATTACTCACAAGTAACGGAGGCTCCAAGGTAAACAAACAGAATAAGCAAATTAGATGTCTTGCGGCGCGTGACCTACATAACATAACAAATGCACACATTGAAACACATGCTCGGAGTGTACATAGCTTAATTCATTGTTCTTAGTGTGTTTCTAGCCTTTATCCTCATTATGGTGTCTTAATCTTGGCCTAGGAATACCTAGGATGGAATGAGGATGCAAAAATGTACTTGAAAACATTTTTCCAAACTTGCTGAAAATAGAGTACACTCTCGAGCGTGGCTTTCCTCACTCGAGCGGACATACAAAAAGTGAGGGTTCGCTAAAGCGTAACTTCCTTCGCTCGAGCGGTCTGTAAACTTTGAAAAAGTACTGGTTGCTTGTTTTTCACGCTCGACGGACGCTCGATCCTCGCTCAAGCGTGACTTTTGTTGCTCGAGCGTGCTGCAAAACACAAGAACTTCTGAGGGCTTGCATTTCATGCTTGAGCATACTTTAGGTCGCTCGAGCGGAAGTGCACACACTCAGAGTGGTCGCTCGAGCGTGGGTTCCTACGCTCGAGCGTAGATGCAAATTCTGGAATTTCCAGATTTGATCTCCAAGCTAAAAACTCAAACTTAAAGCTTCAAAACTTGATTTTTCTGAGCCAAGACTTGAGGAAATACATGAAAACTCTTAAAACAACATGAATTAAAGATCAATTCAAGAAATCATGGCCCAACAGCTTGCTAATTGTGCAAAATTCAACTTAAAATGTAAGAACATGCTCTAAATATGACATGCATGTAATCACTTGAGTTCTTAGCCTCCAATACATGATCAAATGCTTCAAAACAACATGAGACTTGATGGTTTCCCAAAATTAAGGTAAAGTCAAGACATGCATGAGGGAAATCTTGGAAATTAAACTCAAAATATGAGAAAATATGCTTGTATGCGTGGTATGTCTCAATACTCTTCATTTCTAACTCAATTCTCCATTAATCAACATGATTCTCTTTTGTTCATGCAATATAGTCTAGATTTCAAGGCTTAAGGATAAAATTCTTACCTAGAGACTTGAGTTTACAAAAGTTGAAGTTAAAACTCTCAAATTCTCTTCAAGCTCACAACATTTCCTAGCAAATTCTTTGTTTGAGCTCAATTTCTCCCTACTCTTCCTCTCTCACGTTTTCTTACTTGAATAGGCTCAAAATGTATTGAAATGAAGAAAAAGAGATGAGTGGGAGCTCAATTGGTGCCTTATATAGGCTTGGATAATAGTGTAATTAATTAAGGTTAAATAAGTGGGCATTAACTTAATCTAATTTAATCGTTCCAAATCGAATTTTAATTAAACTTACCATAAGGTTCTAAAAATTTCAAATAACACATAAATCAAATCAATTTCTGAATCGGATACTGATAAGACCTTCAATTCGCAAACCGAAAAGAAAACGTGAACAAATCTTTCTATGTTAAACAGATGTAATCACAAATAATGCAACACACATTTAATTAATTCAGAATTTTGAACTCAAAAACTTATTAGGCATATTAAACATAAATTAACGTTAATCATGGGTCAGGGTTGTTACAAAATCCTTCACTTTTTAATTATGATAATCAATTCTTTACGCTAATAGCGGCATGTTGTTCATATATCATTGATATGGCAAACTAAAATTAACAGATGATAGATGAAAGTAAGATTTGAGTAAAATTATAACGTGTAAAGTAAAATTTTGATTAAAAAAAATGTAAATATGTGAATAAAGCATAAAAAATGTTATGTGTGCCTTACATGTCAATTTCTATCAACCTCATATTTAAATTTGACTTAAAATATAAGAAGTTAATTGTCATAATTAAAAAAAAAATGTGAAGTAAGATTAAAGGTGCTAGGTGTAATTAATCCTTAAATATATGATATGAAATAAAATATCAAAGTTTATCAAGAGAGATGTGCTATTTCAACCATCTCTATCATATTTTCCATTTGGTACTTATTCTTAACTATTACTTCACAATTGCCTCTTGTAATTGTTTTTGAACTTTGCAGAGAGTATTATGATGATTATATTTTATTTAGGACCTAGCTCCTTTTCAATCGGTCATTAGGTTGGAGGGTAATGTTTGACAGTGATGGGCTTTGATTTAGGCCTATCTTGATGATCCAAACCGTTCAATATATAGAATTCGTCGAGTACATCACCCTTATAAAAAATCACGTTGATCGGATATCGATAGTCATTTCATCAGATCACATTTCTGCCATAATTTATTTTAAAAATTATACTTGTCATTGACGGAAATATAATCTAATGAATGTCTATTGATATCCGATTAAAGTAATTTTTTTGCAAGGATAATATACTTGAGAGACTCTGTACATTAAATGGTTTGGATTATTCAGATGGTCCCAGATCAGGGCCCACCACTGCCGAACCTCCAGTCCGATGAGGAGCCAGATCCTTTATTTATTATCTCACATGCCACAATTGTTATTTGGTTATCTCTATTTTTTTTTTTAAATTCACTTTTTTATCTTCTGGATTTTTTTTTGTTTTTAATGAATTTTTAAAATATTTCACTTATTTTATTTTTTTTTATTTTAAATATACCTAATATAGATACACTTGAAAAACATAATATTTGTGAACAAATACTTAAAATAATCACCAAATACTAAAAATATAAAAATTAAATATATTTTCATATTTTGTTATATTCAATGAATTTTTATACTTTTTAAGTATATAAAAAAATAAAAAGAATGATTAAAATATTTTTAAAAAATCACTAAAAATTCAAAAAAAAAATGTTTTTGAAAATTCCAAATCAAATTTTCCACTCAATATACTGAAGTAGGGGTCTTGGAATTTATTTTGCACTCCGTAATTTAAAAAGCATAGTTGTGGATCACAACAATTTTTGAAAAAAATTAGTGAAAGATCCCTCTCCAACTTTGGGTAATATAAGAGGTCCAATATGTTTTTTCTTATTAGTTAAGGTCCCTCAATAATATTATTAGAGAAATTTCAACTCGTCACAAAGAAATTTCTCTAAAAATTTGTTGTGAATTTCTCTGTGAAGTTTCTATGTGAGGAGCGAAAATTTCTCTGTGAATTTTTCTTTGAAAAACTGAAATTTCTTTGTGAAAAAAGTAATTCTCTATGAAGAGTTGGAAATTTCTCTTTAAAAAGAAATTTCTCTATGAAAATATAGAGTAACCCCAACTACTCTAAAAATGTTGCATGTCTTTTATTTTTAAAATTCTAATATCATGGATCTTAAGAGCATCCTTATCAGACTACCTAAATTTTATCCTAAAATATTATTAAAAAAATTCATTCCCTATTTTAGGAATCACTTTTTTATCCACTTCCTTCAACAAACTCCTTATTCTTTCTTTATTCTATTAAAATAATATTTTTAATTGCTTTTAAATTTAAATATTTTTTTAATAATAAAATAATAAAAACAAATGCAATAGCACAACATGCAATAACATAGCAAGAAGGAGAGGAAAGCAAACAGGGGCGGTCGACCGAGCGGTAAACCGGTCAAGCTAATTTTGGACATTTTCCTTCTTTAGCTCCAGGACTCTCACGGGACATCCGGAGAATGTCCGGGGGGACATCCGGAAGGACATCTTTCATGCCTTTAACACAAAATAAAATAAGAATTTATCAGATATGATGGAGCTACAGTGACTCTCTACAAATAGCACTACAAGAATAGTGGGATTTAACGGCATTTATTTAATGACGTTTAAAAAAATGCCTCTGTTGTTAACATTTAACGGCGTTTTTATAAACGTCGCATTTTGTTTAATAATACGACCCCGTTTTAATTTCAGAAGTCGTTTTTAAAACGCCTTCGAATGTGTTCTTCGTATTGTTACGACTAATGTGTTGCTAAATGTGCTTCTTCCTTTAAATATGAATGATTAATTGCGTAGGGGGATTTGACACTGCACGTGCCGCAGCCAGGTAATAATGGTATTGGGTTGGAAGTTTAAACAATTTTATCCTCTGAAGTTTTTCTGTGATGTGGGTTCGGAAAATTATTTTCAATTATCTTTGTGATCTCAGGGCATATGATCGAGCTGCAATTAAGTTCCGTGGAACTGATGCAGATATCAATTTTAATATCAGTGATTATAATGAAGATCTTCAACAGGTGGTTGGGGTTGATAAATGTCTAGTTGATACAAAAGTTTTCTTTCTGTAAGGAATGTAATTGTGTTTATCTGGTTTTGATCTTTATGCAGATGAAGAATTTGACGAAGGAAGAATTCGTGCATGTACTTCGTCGCCAGAGTGCCGGATTCTCTAGGGGTACTTCAAAATACAGGGGTGTTACACTGCACAAATGCGGACGATGGGAAGCTTGAATGGGGCAGTTCCTTGGCAAGAAGTGAGACAACACTGAACTGATTTTTTACATTTTCTAGTCAGATGTGACTCAAAATTCTGTGTGATCTCCCAAATTCTATATCAATTTTATTAACTTATATTATTAATGAACTATGAAAATGGTCTTCATTGGTTTGTATCCAACACATTGCCTACAGGTATATCTATCTTGGGTTGTTCGACAGTGAGGTGGAAGCTGCAAGGTCATAATGATTAAAATTTTACTTTTCCTTGCTCTATATGTTATATTATATTATCTATTCTCCATCCGATTCAATTTAACTTTATGTTAATCAGGGCTTATGACAAGGCTGCAATAAAATGCAATGGAAGGGAAGCGGTGACCAACTTTGAGGCAAGCACATATGAAGAGGAGTTAAGCTCTGAGATTGAGAATGGAGGTATCATTTGTTTAATTTTTTGTGCAAAATCAGAAGTAGCAAGTTGTTGTTTAGATGTCAAAGCCAGTAATGTTGATTCTCGCCTAGTAGCATCTGATAGATGCATCTCTTTGAAGAGATTTTACAGTGCAGCACATGGTTCCCCAAATTTCTTTATAGGGTGTTGCAGTTTTTCTTCACAGGCTGACACAAAAAGCAGTGCACAAGAAGAAGATGATTTGGAGGATGGGTTTTCTGAGCTTAAGACTGCAGCTAGTGCTGCTGATGTGGTTCAAGACAGCAATGTTGACGATTTAAACAAAGATCAATTGATTTCCGAACCAGAGCTCTCTGAAGAAGAAGATGATGGTGATGGTGTAGAAGAACCTCAAAATGAGCTGGAATTATTTGATACTGAGGCAGAAGTGACTAAGAAAAGACCTCCACAAAAGAGAGCTTCTTCGGCATTGTTCAAGGCTATCATGGCTGCTCTAGGTTTGTCTGTTCAAAGTGCTTTGGATAAGTGGGTTGAGGAGGGAAATGATTTGAATCGACCTGAGATAGCCTTGGCCATGCTCAACCTTCGGAAACGTCGGATGTATGGAAGGGCCTTGCAGGTAATTTGTCTCAATTCTTTTGTTGCATATGATTAATCTGAGTTAGCTTGTGTTAAAGAGTATTTGTGCTTAAATCTTCACTTTTAAATTCTAGCAGTCTGTAATCTGGTTTCAATAAGTAGATGCGGTATACTGAATGTGTTAACCAGCCTTTACATTGATTTATTTATTATCTTTGTTTTCAATGTATTGTGGCTCTAAATCAGGATAACAAAGTTGGGAAAACTCTTAAAAGAATAAAGACCCTTCAAAAAGTTTTCTACCTAGAAAAACTATCATTACATCTTTATTTTTTTTTATAAAGTATACTTGACCAGAATTCTAAGTTTTATTGCCATACTAAAGATAACACTCCTGAGGGTTTCTGTTTACAACCTAGCAACAAAGCCGTAATCGCAAGTCCTAGGGTTTAAAGGATAATTTTTCCCCTTATGGAGTAAATAAAGTTTTAAGATTTTTTTTGTCCATTATTAATCAATCTTAGCCACTACTTCATGCAGTGTGGTTCTTCATGGTAATCTCTTTATATAATCATGCAACATGATATTATACATTCTTAATAGGGTGGAAAATATGCTGCTTGTATCTTTCTTCATCAATTGAATTAGTTGTCATTCTTTTTTTAAGTTGCAATTCATCAGAGATTAATCATTTTTGCCATTTGATTTTTATCAACAGCAACATATTTTTTAGACAACCCTGCTATGTGTGCAAGAAAATCATGTAATAGGCAAGGCAACAATCCTAGTACCCTTGAAACTAAAATTGAAACTGACAGTTCTATATTGACTTGTACCCTTGAAATTGAAACTGACATTGAGATTTGCTGGGGTGTAATATGCAGTAATTTAGTGGCCAACAACTTCACCATGGAAAGTTCAAACAACAGGTGATTCTCTCCCTGATGTATGCTTTTGTTTTTATTACATACGATTCTGAACATTCAGTGAAACAACAACACTAAATGAAAGTTAGTTTCTTTCCCGTTAAATTGTTTTAGCATTGAACAACATGAGTTGGTTACCAGCACCTGCTTGAGCAGTCAAACATACATGACAGTGCTGCTCAATGCAATAGTTTTTTGAACTTTTCATGATGCTGATGTGTGCTCATAAATTTATGTGAAATAATGATGATGGCACCTTTCTAGTTTTGAAGATATGGAATATTTCATTGATCTTATCTGTAGCATGCTGAGACGACTCGTAGAGGAAAGAAGAGCTTGCCAAGAAACCAAACATGACATGCTTGGTCTCCTAATGAATGGGGGTGAAAAAAACAGATATAATCTAACAAATGAAGAGATAATTGATCAAATGATAGCAATTTTGTATTCTGGATACGAGACTGTATTCACTCAAAAAACTTACTATATAAGATTTCTATTGGAAATTTAGTCCTCTTATATATAACATATTTTGACTGATAGCAATTTTGTGGCTTTGTATACAAGGTAGTAATTAATTTTTTGGTTGAGAATTGTGAATACAATTTCTCGATATGTTATTTTGGGGGTAATACGATAAGACCTTCAATTCGCAAACCGAAAAGAAAACGTGAACAAATCTTTCTACGTTAAACAGATGTAATCACAAATAATGCAACACACATTTAATTAATTCAGAATTTTGAACTCAAAAACTTATTAGGCATATTAAACATAAATTAACGTTAATCATGGGTCAGGGTTGTTACAAAATCCTTCACTTTTTAATTATGATAATCAATTCTTTACGCTAATAGCGGCATGTTGTTCATATATCATTGATATGGCAAACTAAAATTAACAGATGATAGATGAAAGTAAGATTTGAGTAAAATTATAACGTGTAAAGTAAAATTTTGATTAAAAAAAATGTAAATATGTGAATAAAGCATAAAAAATGTTATGTGTGCCTTACATGTCAATTTCTATCAACCTCATATTAAAACTTGACTTAAAATATAAGAAGTTAATTGTCATAATTAAAAAAAAAAAATGTGAAGTAAGATTAAAGGTGCTAGGTGTAATTAATCCTTAAATATATGATATGAAATAAAATATCAAAGTTTATCAAGAGAGATGTGCTATTTCAACCATCTCTATCATATTTTCCATTTGGTACTTATTCTTAACTATTACTTCACAATTGCCTATTGTAATTGTTTTTGAACTTTGCAGAGAGTATTATGATGATTATATTTTATTTAGGACCTAGCTCCTTTTCAATCGGTCATTAGGTTGGAGGGTACTGTTTGACAGTGGTGGGCTTTGATTCAGGCCTATCTTGATGATCCAAACCGTTCAATATATAGAATTCGTCGAGTACATCATCCTTATAAAAAATCACGTTGATCGGATATTGATAGCCATTTCATCAGATCACATTTCTACCATAATTTATTTTAAAAATTATACTTGTCATTGACGGAAATATAATCTAATGAATGTCTATCGATATCCGATTAAAGTAATTTTTTTGCAAGAATAATATACTTGAGAGACTCTGTACATTAAATGGTTTGGATTATTCAGATGGTCCCAGATCAGGGCCCACCACTGCCGAACCTCCAGTCCGATGAGGAGCCAGATCCTTTATTTATTATCTCACATGCCACAATTGTTATTTGGTTATCTCTTTTTTTTTTTTTTTTAAATTGACCTTTTTATCTTCTGGATTTTTTTTTTTGTTTTTAATGAATTTTTAAAATATTTCACTTATTTTATTTTATTTTTTTTTAAATATACCTAATATAGATACACTTGAAAAACATAATATTTGTGAAAAAATACTTAAAATAATCACCAAATACTAAAAATATAAAAATTAAATATATTTTCATATTTTGTTATATTCAATGAATTTTTATACTTTTTAAGTATATAAAAAAATAAAAAGAATGATTAAAATATTTTAAAAAAACCACTAAAAATTCAAAAAAAATTATTTTTGAAAATTCCAAATCAAATTTTCCACTCCACAGACTGAAGTAGGGGTCTTGGAATTTATTTTGCACTCCATAATTTAAAAAGCATAGTCGTGGATCACAACAATTTTTGAAAATAATTAGTGAAAGATCCCTCTCCAACTTTGGGTAATATAAGAGGTCCAATATGTTTTTCTTATTAGTTAAGGTCCCTCAATAATATTATTAGAGAAATTTCAACTCGTCACAAAGAAATTTCTCTGAAAATTTGTTGTGAATTTCTCTGCGAAGTTTCTATGTGAGGAGCGAAAATTTCTCTGTGAATTTGAAATTTCTCTTTGAAAAACTGAAATTTCTTTGTGAAAAAATTAATTCTCTATGAAGAGTTGGAAATTTCTCTTTGAAAAGAAATTTCTCTATGAAAATATAGAGTAACCCCAACTACTATAAAAATGTTGCATGTCTTTTATCTTTAAAATTCTAATATCATGGATCTTAAGAGCATCCTTATCAGACTACCTAAATTTTATCCTAAAATATTATTAAAAAAATTCATTCCTTATTTTAGGAATCACTTTTTTATCTACTTCCCTCAACAAACTCCTTATTCTTTCTTTATTCTATTAAAATAATATTTTTAATCACTTTTAAATTTAAATATTTTTTAATAATAAAATAATAAAAACAAATGCAATAGCACAACATGCAATAACATAGCAGGAAGGAGAGGAAAGCAAACAGTGGCAGTCGACTGAGCGGTAAACCGGTCAAGCTAATTTTGGACATTTTCCTTCTTAAGCTCCAGGACTCTCACGGGACATCCGGGGAATGTCCGGGGGGACATCTAGAAGGACATCTTTCACGCCTTTAACACAAAATAAAATAAGAATTTATCAGATATGATGGAGCTACAGTGACTCTCTATAAATAGGGAGTCACTGTAGCAATACTTATATTTGGAGGGTTGGATAGAGGAACTGCTGGGGATATGTTTTGATAGAAAAACTCCTTATTTTGAGTAAGGAGGTAATATAAGGGAAGTGATGGGGATGTTCTAAACTAAAAACTCCTAATTTCCACTATGACTCATATTCCACAAATTTAAAATTTATAGGGCCCGTTTATTTTGAGTGATAGAGAATGTGATTGGATTATGATAGATGTTGGACCCACTATAATGGTGTTTGTTTGGAAAATAAGGAAGGGAATTCATTGTCCTAAAGGAATTATGAAAGGTCTCCATGGGTGCGATTAGTAATCCCTCATAGGAGATGGTATTGGAAAAACAATCTGTTGGGATTAGAGGGAATTTATTATTTTGCTCTCTTATTATCTTATTTGATTTACGTACTCTTCTTGGTTGATATGGTCTTTTCTCTATCATTTTTTTTTAATTATTTCTCAATTTTTTACTCCCACCATTCTTTATATCAAAATAATCTAATATAAAAATAAAATAGTATAATAATATTCATACCAAAAAACATTATATTAAAATAATATAGTACCAAACAAATAATATATTTATGAAATATAGTTTTTAATATTAAAATATAATTTTAATATTAAAATATGTCAGAAACATCAAAGGTATTTATGAAATTTCATATAGTTAATGCATTATAAAATGACAAAACAAGCATGAGTCATTAAATAAACATAATTTTTTTTTAACAATTTCATATTGTTAATCCATTATAAAATGACAAAACAAACATGAGACATTAAATAAACATAATTTTTTTTTAACCCCTCATAAATAATTTATACACTAACAATTTCATACAAGTTAACTCTAAAAACAAATTGCCCTGTTGTATACTCCACTTTCAAAATAATTTTCAAAAACAGTTATTGATCAAATCTTGAGTATGTCATTACGTATGGACCGACCATACCATGTGAAAGATATTTTTGATCAAATCTTTAGTATGTCATCAAGTATGGACCGATTCTGATCCACTACATGCGAATGATATTTTTAGGGTGAAGTACATTTTACACTAAATTTTATTTTGATCTCTATACATAAAATCATAGAGTGGTGTTATTTTTGACCTCCCATTTCTTGGGCCCCTACTTACAAATTTTGAACCTCTCAAAATTTCTTTCCCCCCCTCAAGCAATAC